ATTATAGTGTGTGGGATGGTGATGTACAGAGTAGTAAGTTCGTGGTTCGTGGTAGGTTGACCTAATAAGAGAGACAGGATTGAGGTGAGTTAGAAATGTATGTTAGAGTATTAAGTAGTAGTAAGGTGTCTGATAGCCAAGATTGCAATTCAAGAATATAGGAGTTTGAACGTTTGAGATTAGTTTGAAATTTAAAAATGGTTTGATAGTTTATTAAAATTCGACATCTCGAACTGGTTGAATGGCTCGATCGGGATGGGGATTTGATGACCTTTACCATTGGATTGTAGGCTGTGATATTGAATACTCTAGAAGTAGGATGAAGGATTGAGCAGATTATTATAGAAGTTGAGCTTACAAGATCAGGAGTTGAATGAGTATAAGCCGGAAGATTGTAACGGAAGTGGGTATATATATGTTGATAGTTGTTGAGATAGGGAGGAGGGAGGGATAAGCGAGTGGGAAGGAGGATGTTCTTTTGATCAACCGAGGGTTGAGCGTTATGTAAAATTGAAGGAATAGAGAACTTTCGATTTTTGAATCAATAGGGAGATGGAAATTGGATGAATGGTCGAATTTATGCAGAGAGTGGTATGATGCATTTAAAATTTTACATATGCAGTAAAACTATACATCAATATACGAAGGCTAATCGAGGTTCGCATGATGATATATTTGTGTTGTATCTGGGAACATGGATAGTATAATTTATTGATGATATTCTTAAAAACAGGAGCCAGCATAATTTACGCCTATTTAGAGTATCATTACTTGATAGATTGGATATTAATGAAGTTGAATTCGTACATTTCCTTCCTGCATCAAAATCACTTGTGTGTTATTTCACAATTCTAACAAGAGATGAGGACATTAGTTGATAACTAGATATTTTACTTGAAGTATTTCGAGGTTTCAAGATGGAAACGAATGGATTGCAATTATGACAACGTGTCCAGAATATCAGGTCAGGGCCACACTTTAATATCGAAAGCTTTTTGATACTATATCTGAAGAGAGGATTTGGATTGCCTTAAAAGCAGAGAATGTTTGATACGGTGATAATTTTCCAAAAAATCAGATTGGCGTTGAGGACACAATCTTTTTTAACTTCTGTCTGCGTATGAATATTGGAGGTCTACAAACTACTTATCTTTCATTAAGGGGGAGCGATAGTTTAAAATTCTTTCAAGATTGTGTATTATTACCTAGCTAAGATAAATATCGAAAAGCTATTTTGATACTGAATGATGGCAGACTTTGACGGTAGACCTTTCAGCGGATCCATACTATAATTACGTTTTTGTATCGTCATTATCTTGGTATCAGAATCTGAGTTTATTTTATGTTTCCCAGATTAGGTTGATATAGTCTTATATGGCTGGAGAATCATAGAGTGAGGGGGCGGATTGATGAGCAGGAAGTAAAATTGTTATCTGTATCTGATTCGTGGTGATTCTGAAATTTTGAATTCTGGGTTTGTACCGTCTTGTATATCTGGAATTACTAATATGACACCTTTAGTGTTGACCAATGCTTGTATATTGATCAGTTTTAACTGTTGTATTAAGATAATGTGGATAGATCAAAGTAGACCGAGACGGACGGAAGTCCATCTCGAAAGAATGAGCGAGGACACGCAGGTTCGATGGGTTTATAGGTTTGATAAAACAGGCAAGCCTAAATCCTCGTGATGTACGGCCAGACTCAGATGTATATGCAGAAGTTGAATGTAGAGTAGACGATAAGCTGGAATCGTTTTTGATTAGCTTACTCGAGTATGGTATTCTCTTCGCTGATTAGTTCGTATGAGGCATTTGATTGAGTGATGATGAGATATTAGGGACATCAACTCCGTGCTAGATGGACGTTCAAGACTGACGGTCAGAAAACGATTTGGAAGATGGTGGTTAGCAAAATCTACTGCGTGGGTTGTGCTTGTTCTGAATTCTGCAAGAAGATCATTAGGTCGTGAGTTTTGCGAAGGATTTTGGCCTTTTGTGATACTGAAGGGGGTGAGGAAGAGGAGCATTTCGCTTTTTGCTTATAGCAAAAGAAAAAAATGATAACCGGAGGAGAAGCATAGAAAAATAACAGGAAGAGGAACAAGAGAAGAGAATTCTAGTTTTGCAATAATATATGCAGTGCAAATTAAAATGATACGTGATACCTTTTGTATTTTAGTGTGATTTTTTGTTTTTAGGGCGTAGTTCTATCAAATTTCAGGACAAGGTGAATGGTCGAGTCATGTGACTATGAGACGTCGCTGATAATTACACCCTTATTCCACATTCATCGCTAAGCCGATTTCTTAGAGAAGAAAAGAACTGTAACGATTCATTTTCCACGCTAGCACCGAAAACCTCCATGTTCGTGATGCTATGCGCAAACAAATGAAATATCAAACAACGTTTGAATATGAATTTCTATAAGATTATGGATCCTTGGTCATTACCCTTTGCTTGTAATCAGACTTTAAACCTCTGCTATCAAATTTAAGGGGCTGTCGGGTAAGAATTTACTCGGCAGGGAAAAAATGAGCACATTCCGAAGATAAGCCGCGCTTTGCTCCCGCTGTCTTTACACGAAGTATGATTATAATCTTCATTCTTCTTTTTCAGAAGAACGTGCAAGCAAGGAAGGTGCCTGATATTCCGAATTTTCCAAAACTAATTTTGGATTATGAATATGTTCGATTTGAAAGTGTACATATGACATAGTTTGAAAAGTTTATCAGTGTATGACTCGCGTAAAAACGTGAGAACGCGAGCATCACTGTACACGAAACAGTCTCTGAGTAGTTACCAACAAGAACGTACTAGTAGGAATAGAGTTTTTCTAAGTCCGCCTCGATACCCCAAAACACCAAGAAGTGAATATACAGTAGCCTCCAGCTAGATCATGGAGACTAAATTCAGCTTGGCTATCTCGGTCCCGAAGACATGATTCTATTCAAGATTAAAAATCATTTGCATGATGATTAATATCAGGTGACTGGTCCAAGAAATTCCAAGAGCATGCAGATTTGAATGTTTCTCCTGGAATTCAACTGTTCTACAAAGTGGACAAATTCCGTCTCCCATGGAATCCCGTGAACGTGGGAGTGCCAAATCCATCTACCATATCCGTTCTTTCACATTTCATCAATACTTTATAAAATGACTCTTGAAATTGACAATTCATTGCAAATTCTAGAAGAATGTCAGAAATCAATAATAGATACATCCGGTTATGAAATAAACTTCTAGGGTTGAAGTGGCTAGGGATTCAGTGGGAAGAAGTGAAGAATAGATTAAGGTTAGAGTTCAGCTAACAATGCTTGGCGAGGTAGCTTGGCTTGAGGTCGACTCTCTCAAAATCATGTAAATCGATCTTAATTCATTAAGTTTTCAGAACGATCAAGATAAATTCAAATAATGGCATTATTGAAAAAAAACTTTGGACGGAGGCCTTGGGGATGTAGGAGGTAGAAATCGATTTGCTTAAGTATTTGACAAAATTTGTGCGTAATTTATCTGATCTTCGAATTTGGCACTAGCGTCGGGATCGAGAATATTTGTAAACGTAAAAACAAGTCGTCTCAAGTATAAATTGACAGCGCTAGCTCGTGCCTTGCACTGATGTTGTATGAGGGGAATTGCCGTGGTATTGGTGGCCTGAGTATTAAGTAAAGGAGACTAGGGACCATATTTCCAAAAGGTATTGTTCCGAAATCTGATCTATGCGTATCCTCACTGACGTCGGGACCGAATTATCTTTCTTTAGCTGAGCTACCGGCATGAACACGCGTCTTCGTTGCGTGCCGAATTTCTAGAGTAAACGTAGAAGGGTCTAGTGCACAATGCGAGTCAAATTAAGGATTAATTGAGCTGTTTCGGCGTTTGGTGAATACAACTCGACTTGTGGGTCATTGAGATGATGTCGTGGAGCGCTAATGGTATCCCACCTCCTATTGGATGGTTTTTACCTGAGCAGGTTGAACTGGGAAAATACCGGTAGCTTGGGCTGACGACGCTGGTATTTTTCCGATGAGGTTATCACCGTGAAGCTAAGTTCCACAAACCCGACAGCATGCGCAAGTAAGATGGCTTTCAATTGAAGTCAGGATGAGTACAGTGAATCTTCGTAGCCCCAAGAAGCTTGAAAATGGTCTACCAATGTCAAATATTCTTGCTCGCTTACATTCAATCTCGTCCACGGCTCACCACGGGAGACTTTCTGGAATAACCTTATTGTCTAGTCGACAGAGCTACGTAAAGTCGAAAAATGACAAGTCATAGATCGTGAGCTAAAACTTGTGTTTAGTACCAATTGCCACTACGGCTAATGTGCCTCTGACGTCCTCTTCTGCGTCTGCTCCAGCCTCGCGGTCTTCGCCTTTGTTCTATTAAGCTCATTCTAGTAAAGCTCTACCCAAAGAACTTCGATTTTAGTTCCGTGCTAAGAAAGCGGTCAAAGTAATCTGATAAATACAATGGAGACATGATGGAAACTTTCCGTAGTAAGGTTACTATCAAACTAAGGTTACGCGTCTACGCAAATTTCCTAGCTTCATCACACTTCCACTGCCGGCACGTAAGCTTGGCTAACAAGATCTTGACCGGTATTTGAGATACGACCAAGGCATTTCTTACTCTTTGACCATCAAATGGCTCTACCACAATGTTAAGCAACCAAAATTAGACTAATGAGGTTGCGCGTCTCATAGGGTGCAAGCAATAACACTGCGACTTGCGTATTTGCACGTCGTGTGCCAGGATCCATGGTGGCTTATAACATCTAATTTAGACATTGATGCTATGCTGAACGTCAATTCGGGATCGACGAGGTGGGACGAACGTTTCCATCTCTTCTCAAATCTTTTATAAGACTTTAGAGCTCTCCTCACAATATTTTCTCCTCATCATCAGGTTTCAGTCCTCTCATTCGCTTACCAATCGACGATCTGAACTAATAATTCAACTTCAACGACATTCTTTCTATTTGATTTTTCGATTCAAATCATGCGTCAATCGATGCGAACAGGAGCTGTTGCAGCTCTTGCTGCCTCTACAGCAAAGGGTGCCTCCCTCGCAGATGTTTGCACTGTCGCCAATGTCCAAGCTGCTTTACCAGCAAACGGAACCTTTAACGGCATCAACCCAATCTCATCTTCCGTTACTGCCAACGCTGTTTACAACTCCACAGTCAGCTCGGTAGCTTACGACTATTGCAACGTAACTGTTACTTATGCCCACCCTGGTAAAGATCAAGTTGTCGTTTGGTACAACTTCCCAAGCCCCGATGTCTATAAGAACCGTTTCTATGTTGGTGGAGGAGGTGGATACGCTCTTGGCTCCGACCCAACCGCAGGTCTACCATATGGTGCCGTCGGGGGTGTCTCAGATGGCGGCTATGATGCTATTGGTGGTACCACTGTTGATGAGGTTGTCTTGACTGGAAATGGCTCTGTTAACTGGGATAGCATCTACATGTTCGCATACCAGGCACTTGGTGAGATGACTCAGCTTGGAAAGGCTATTACTCCATTGTTCTATGGCAGCAACTCAAGCGCAAAGCTCTATACTTACTACGAGGGATGCTCTGATGGTGGGCGTCAGGGTATGTCCCAAATTTAACGTTATGGTTCTGAGTACGATGGTGTCATCACTGGTGCCCCAGCTTTCCGTTATGGACAACAACAAGTTGTAAGTTACACCCAAAGGTAATGAATCTTAATATGCGGCAATTACTAATTTTTCTCAGAACCACTTATTCTCCAACGTTGCCGAGATCATGATGAACTACTTCCCACCTACTTGTGAGATGGACAAGATCGTCAATATGACAATCGAGGCTTGCGATCCTCTCGATGGACGTACCGACGGCGTCGTATCCCGAACTGATCTTTGCAAGCTCAACTTCAACATTAACAGCACTATCGGCGCCCCTTACTATTGCGAGGCCTCATCTAGTAGCTCCCTTGGATTTGCATTCGGTCAAAAGGTAAAGAGACAAATGGGTCAATCCGCCGTCTCTACACCTGCTCAAAACGGGACTGTCTCTGCTGAAGGCGCTGCTCTCGCTGCTCAACTCTACGATGGCATGTTCAACTCAAAGGGTCAACGTGTCTACCTCCCATGGCAACCAGCTTGTGCATTCCAAGATGCCACCAGCTCCTACGATAACACTACCGGCACATGGGGTGATGATATTGCTTCCACCGGAGGTGAATTCGTTACCAAATTCATTCAAAAGCTTGATCTCGACAACCTTGCTTCGCTCGACGGCGTCACCATGGATACTCTCCAAGAATGGATGACTGAGGCTATGGTCATGTACATGGATAGTTTACAAACTACTCTCCCTGACCTTACTGAGTTCCAAGAATCTGGAGGAAAGCTTATTCATTACCACGGAGAATCTGACGACAGTATTCCAACCGGTTCTTCAGTCCACTATTACGATTCAGTCCGCTCCATCATGTACCCAAATCAAGATTTCAATGCCAGTGTCACCTCCCTCAAGGAATGGTACAAGCTTTTTCTTATTCCAGGAGCCGCCCATTGCAGCACCAACACTCTTCAACCAGGCCCTTACCCAGCCGACAACATGGCTACCATGATCGACTGGATTGAGAACGGTATTGAGCCAGAGAGACTCAACGCTACTGTTGGCAGCGGTACTTTTGAGGGAGAGGTTCAAAAGCTTTGCGCCTACCCATTGAGACCTATCTGGGATGCCGAGGGAACCTTATCTTGCGAGTATGACCAAGCTTCCATTGACAGCTGGACTTACACTTTCGATGCATTCAAGGTGCCAGTCTACTAGATATCTCTTAGCGTGATACTAAGAGGTGTACAAGAGATGGAAAGGGTGTGTGATTAGAGTGGGTGGGTGTATCTGTAGCATTTCGTTGGAGTCGAAAAGGTTATCGCGCTTATAGCTTGATTCTTCCTTTTTCAATTCGTATATATTTTGCCTTTGCGCATTAGCAGTATTCTTATATCAAACAATTTCTGCCCTTAACTTAAATTTTCATAACATTTGAGGCCATGATCAACCTGTATAAGTGACCCAACTATACACATTCAATAGCTCACGTGCGAATGAACTCCCCATTAGCTTTCACTCAAGTTATAACGACCGACAAAGAGCCGCACGATAGGCGCAATAGATCTAGAATAGGAAATATAACCCTTTTGGGAAAGAAAAGACAATGAATCCTCTTGTTTCACCACGCCAAACTCGAAATACATTAGAAGGCACAGCAGCTAAAGAGCTTACCTGAAAAGCGCTTCTAGGATAAACTCTCAATCATTGCAACACGAGACGAGGTAGATCTATGCTAGACGTATGAGGGATTGTGATGCTATGTGCAGGTGCTCATGTACTGAGGTGGATGCGTGTGTTGGTCAACAGTTCGCAGATTTGATCTTCTACTACTCGTATTGCAGTGGAGGTGATTATCATGGCGCCGTTGTGAGTAGATTACCCAAATGCGACAAGATACCTGGCTACTTGACAGATCTGGTAAAAGAGGTCCAAGAAAGTTACTACTGTATTGAGTCTACTTCCTCGTCGATCCGTGGTTGGTAATTACTAGGTCATTTGATAGATCGAGGGGTTGGGTGGATTGCGCTAATGGTGGGGTTAATTCTATGAGCAGGGTTCGCATAAAGCGCAATTATCCTAATTTTTACTATCGTATGCATAGAATGTGGGGCATAAAGTTATACACTTCATTAATTTTTTATGTGTTATGATGTTGTATTGTGCGCTGTACAATTGTGTTTTGTGTTGATCTGAATGATCCTTCGGGTTTTGGGACGAAATTACCAGGAAACTGCTTGTTGGTGTGGTGATTCAGCATTAGCGGTTCATTGTAGAATGAGGCGAAAGGGAAGAGAGTGGTGTATGAAGCTCAGGATGTCCGTTGATTAGAGATGTGAGGATATGTCTGGCAGCTTACCCATGGTTGATGAGGCTCAAGGAGGGGTAATGGAGACTAAAATCAGGGTCCAAAACCTTTCCATAAGAGGGGTCTAGTGGTCCAGTGGCGATTAACAGGAATTCTATTCTTTGTGTAACCTCTGGTTGGGCGAGACACAAGTAGTGCAAACCCAACATGGATTTCTCACTTCAAACCATTTGAATGCCGCAAGCGCGGATGATCAATGATCTGTTTCAGTGGCAAATTACCTACATGGATGGGCAAAAAGTGACTCGAATCAGGGTCCAAAGTTCCTGTCAGTAAATAAGTGCTAATGCACTCCTGATGTGGAGGTTGATGGGGCATTTACAATGATTCTCAAACGCTGCTGCCGTACATTTACAACGCTCATAAATCATCGCGCGCCGTTACCGCAGATAGCACGTCAAGAATCTTTGGCTTGGGCGCGAGCGGCCGTTGAGGCAGTATTCTAAATTAGAACAACTCACCGCTGGAGAACCCAGACCTAATGGGGTAGCATGCCCATTTGAGTAATTTTAGTCTTATGGCATGTCGAAAATCCTAATCCCTCAGGGTTCCCCAAGTGTCATGCATAAAAGCAGCCGAGAATAGTGGTTTGGCTAACTTACTTGATGTGGAAGTAATCCCTATTTGGGCGAGAAAGCGCAGTGCACTGGTGACTATTAAATTTTTACCAACAAGTAAACAGTACCCAGAATTCAGTCCGTCGAGAGCTTTTCTAGGTTACCGGGCTAAAATAATGCCTATATCTTCTCTACAGGTTGAGAAACACTCATGTGATTCAACGTGGACCATAATCTCCATATGCGTAGAATTCCAAAGCTTAGAGAATGCAACCGATTAGCACCGTAGTGAGCTCAAGAGAGTCGAATAGGATCAAGCTAAAAACACGCGGAAAACATGTTCGATCGATATCATTTGGGAGATTGATCCCTTAGAGTTGAGAAGCGCTATTGTGTAGTTTGAATACCCCTGAAAACGACACACATAATGAAGGGCGAAAGACGAAATTGGCACATTTCTTCTCTATGCTTGCTTACTAGCTACATTTTTCCGACACAACTCAGGAGGTATGTTGCAAACTTTGATCCAGAATGAGGATTGTGGTTTTATGACCTGACGGCAACCTATTTATAAACAACTTCGACGATCTGATGGAAAGTCGTACAGCTGTCCATTACGGATACAATGTTCCCAACTATCTTAAAACGAAATACCAATCACCTATTATCTTACTGTCTCAAAATGATATCTGATTCTCTAATTTGCGATTGTCCATCTTGGAAATTCACTGCTATTCTTCATTTTATTGCCATTACCAAACGCTCATCTATCTGGTACATAGTGTAGTATACTTAGCAAGAGGACATTTATCCGCATCTGGATCTTGAGCAAATTCAAACTCCTCGAAACAGAAGACATTGATAGGACAATTTCGTTCTATTACCGATTATCGTTTCACAGAGAATGCATCAGAAACTTCCAGCGTGTGCTCATTCTCTCCTTGTCAATCACGTGTCATCAATTCATGATATCTTGACGATCTATCTAGAGCACTTAATCTACAGTCAGTGAAATGTGCTATATACCTCGCCACAACCACCAAGGATTCACTGAGTAGTGTGAACTTGGGATTGAGGAATTCAAGTTCGTAGCTATATAAGAAGGAAGATATTATGTTTCATCTACCTTCAGATTGGATTCAACGACGGATTGATTGCACACGAGGATACTCAAAAGTCAACGGAGGGGAATTCTCAGAATGGGTACCGTCATCCAGTGCTGAAAGCTAAGCAAAATATATCCGAAATGGGTGATCCATGGGCGTATCGTCATCTCACCACTATTTCAAATACTGTCGTTCATACTTGTATTCATTCGCTGGTCAATGAAATTTTATTGTCAATCAATCATCTTGAGGTAAGAACGATCATTGGGAGACAGCCAAGTCAGATTGAAAATTTTAGCCAGTTCCATTGTCTGTAGAGATATACTTTGAATGTGACCCGTACCCCATGGTGTTCGAAAGAATAATTGTTCTCGGTCTTTGGATCTTCAGTCCAGTAGGAACGGTCTGTACTTATATCACAGACTGGCGATCGACATTCAGTTCCCCGCACCAGACACTACTTGATACAACATTCACCAAAAATCCTGGTAATGATCAATCAATAGTAGCAAAAAAGTCATTCGCAAAGTGAGAAAGACACTGTCGACAGTATAATCCTCTAGTAGATACTTCTAGTGAATCAAAAGCACCCTCTATCCGGCATGATGAAGGCTAAAACTCTATTCTTCCACTATAAATATCCGGCAAGCCATAAGTTAACACATGCATAACAAACTCGTGAGTTGATCCTGCAACATCACGAATGGTTTTCCAAAAAGAATGTGGGTTGCAGTAGTGGTTTCGAAGAACTCAGGACCTGCGTCTCACGTCTTACTAGAATGGGGTTCATGGTTGAATCGTCAAATTTGACAGTTATTTTTGTCGCTGATCTATTTTATTGTCACAGACGCAAATTGAGGAATCATATACGATCTGGGGCTCAATTAAGAAGAAGTAGTACAAGTCAGGGATCAGATGATAAGGTGTGAAATATTTTTAGGGAATCCTGTGAATTTATAGTGAGCAGTGAAACGGTTTGATGAACTCAACAGCTCTCGAAATACTCATTTATATAAGCGAATCATGTGTAGAGAAACATCTGTGATTCGACCAATCGGGTGGCTCACAGTGTGCACCCTTAATTTCAGGTCAAAGTCTTGTAACAATCGTATATATGATACTTCATCTATCGCGCAATACTCTGTCACCACTCAAAATGATGGTTGAAGATAACCTTAGAAATCTCAAGGTACATGTCAAATTGTCTCCTGAGATAAGAGTATTATATTGTGCCATTTCAACTTGGGCATACGATTGAAAAGCACAATCTTATCAAGGTAATCAAGAACGATGTATCAAAAGCTTCCTATCAAACTACTAAGTTTCACTGTCAGCTCACCAAACTTTTTTCCCATTCATATAACTTGTTGTGGTTTTTGTAATCGCATTAGATTACAGAGCCATCAGAGATTTGTGAAATCAACACCTGAAACTCTGCGGGCAGAACTCTGTATCGGATTACACTCGTCTTAGAGAAGCTTCGATATAAAGTTGCGTGAAAAACGATAGCAAAACCACTGAATCAACTGTTGTCAAAAACAGAAAATCTTATGGTTTTGCCCTTCCATCTATCATCGTTCTTATTTGTCTTGTAAGTTTCAGCTGTAAAAAACCTCTTTGAGAACAAGCCGGCCTGCCCGTGAAACCGCCGACAAGCAATCAAATCACCCATTTCCGGCTAGCCATTGTTATTTCTCGAGTATCCATACTTTCTATTGCTTCGGATCTCTTTAGTGATATTTGTAGTCCTCAAAAGTGTTACTTCTCTCGCAACTACAACTGGGTCATGTGATAAGAATGTTGTTCCCAAATCAATATTTTGGCTAGAATCTCCCCAATAGCTTCGAAATTGAGGTATATAAATCTCTTTTCTACCGAAAAATAATTGTTCGTCTGCGATTACGAAATACATCTAGCTACGCCGATCAGATGGAAGCATCAAAGGGCGTCCACGGGTAGTTCTGATTTCTATCAGCCTCCCAAACTCAATTTTCTGGGAATTTTCGAAGATTTCACATAAAACGAGAATATTCACACCCGGACAACGCTACCAATACATATCTGATAATAACAATTGAGCTATAATAGTGATATTCCTGAGTTAATTGTTTCCCACTATCCAATACCCTTTTATGATGCGAGCTTCGATAGACGCTGTCTCTTGCCGATCTACTGGATTTATGCTAT